GAATGACACCCCTAGAGGCCTCTTTCTCAAGGTAAGCATCTTCGGTCAGTTGGATGATGTGACCGTCCTTGTCAAGAGTGTACCAGACAAACATCTTGACAAGAGGGCCGTTTCCGGGCCACACTGGCCCCCATCTGCCAGCGAGATTGTCTGTTTCATAGCCGTTGATGCCTCGGAATTGGGTGTGCATCTCGGTGACAACGATGTCCTGGCCGAATACTACCCTTTTCAATTCGAGGGTTTCACGCATACCAGCATGGATTTCGTCCACCCATGATAGAAATTCGTCAATGGTCCTGTCGGGGGAACCACTGAATCTGAACTAATGGGAGAAGAGTGAGCAACGTAGCTGGGCAGACTTGAGAACAGGCACTTACCACTGCATCTTTGGAGTAGTACGCGGTGTATTCAGCTTTGTCGTCGGCATTGAAATGATAGACATAGTCGTCCAAATCGGCTCGATTTCGTATCGACTTTGTTCCAATACGGAGATCCGGAGAAGAAGACATGTTTTCTGAATTTCTGCTAAAAGCGTACAGATTTATCACAAAGAATGCTCAAATCTTGAACCTCTGTCGTCCTTTTCTAGCAACCCTTAGGTACCCCAGATTTACCCCAGACGGCAGCTGAGTTAACTAGTTCACCAAGGCTGCCCACTCTAGCCAATAACGGTTACGTGTACAGGTGGTAACCGGTGGGATTTGAACTTGTCAGCGGGGTTAGTGAGATGGTGTGTGGGTGGGTAATAGGGTGGAGCACCGCTTGGGCGCTCGAGGCTCCTTCATCGGCTGGTGTAGCTTGTGCCAAATGTGGATGAACGGTTGACTTGGTGATTGCCACCTACCCACGCTAATACCGTCATCTGACACTCTTCGTGTGGAGCCGATAATTCTATCGAAATGCTGGAATCTTTCCCTAAAACCTGGATTTGATACTGGAAGCACAATGATCAAGGGAGATCTATCTGATGGTGAGAATGTGACAACTTTGGCAGAATCGGGAGAATATGTAGTTACACTGTAGCGGGGCATGGCCTCGCCCTCTGTAACCTATCAGAATCTCACAATGAACAAGGAACTAATTCAATGAATCGCGCCGTTGGGGTTTTGTATTAAATAAAGTAAAAAGCGAATCTGGTGAACTAACTTTACGAACAGAGTAGGGACCTCATCTCCGACAGTCTCCCATCTTAAATAGGTAATCGGAAGTTCAGATGTTTATGCTAGGCCGAGGGGCATGACAGGATCAGGCTGGCGATCAATTCAACCATCAACTCAATCCCGTCAATTTTATGGAAGTTGAAGTCACGTGCACCAATTCAATCAATCCCATTTAACGCTCGCATTGATTGATTCAATTCCACCTAGATGCTTTCAACGTTGACCATCGGTTGAAACTGTCGATAATGGCAGTGGTTCAGGGTAGCGCCTAATCCGTGTAGTCCCATGAGACGCGTCCACAAGACCCCTACTAATACTTTTGCCCCGTATTTTTAATGCACTTGCCAACTGCACCTAGCATTAGGGGTTTATGAACGCGTCTCAGCTGTCGTCGCGCCCTATTACCCTTGCAGGAAGATCATTGCCTGCATTCCATTCCTTTCCAAATCTTCAAATGGACGCTGTCAAGTGCCAGAGTCCCGACTGCAGCGCACCTAGTACTTCACCTAATAACTTGGATGCTTCACCAGACGATTGGAAAGCCTTCGCATGGCATAAGTTTCCGGGTTTCTCGATTTCGGAACGCGCTGGCAGGCAGACCTCGTGGGTTTGGCAGCACGGCTTTTACATTCAAGCCCGTGGCTCTCCCACAAAGAGGAAATGGGTTTGCAAGAATTGTCTCCGGAGGGTCAGGTCCAAGGTGACAGACTTCACTGCGGTTGGCACACCGAATATCGAGAAACATCTGATCAAGGAGCACGGACTTGTCGACGAGTCCGGGAGGAGGAAGCCACCTGCTCTTTGGAAGGGAAAGCAGGAAAAGACACGCCCAAGAAACATTGTGGGAGGAAGAGTACAAACCACTACCGACTCTTTCGAATTCGGATGAAGAACCCCCATTCAAGCGTTTGAAGGCAATGAATGCACTCGAAAGGCGTCGAGCTCACAGGACTTCGTCTCTGACAGGCAGGTGTTCTTGGGAAAGTCCACGGAGTAGGAGCCAAGACGAATATGATCACTGGCTGTCGAGTGCCGACTCTAAGAACGACACTCTTGTGACAGGTCCCATCCAATATTGGTGGGAGAGGCGGAGAGACTACCCTCGACTGTCGCGAATGGCCCTTGACCTACTACCAATACCGTCTATGTCGGCAGAGTGCGAGCGTTTGTTTGGTGTTGCTGAGCAAATGGTGTCACCGCTGCGGACCCGATTGGAAGCTAGCACGATAGGAATGGCACAGACACTGAGGTCATGGGTGCGGAATGGCCTAGTCGACGCGGCTGATAGCTTGATTGATGTGTCAGAAGAGGTTGGAAATAGCGTTATATGGGAGGCAGAGGAGGATGACCTAGACGCTGGGAAGTGAGCATTGGGGGACTCGACGCGCGTGTGATGTTCAACATCTTCAATTCAACGCCATCAATTCAATCTGGAGATGCAGTGGTTCAACTCCACGGGCCAAATGCTGAGTAAGCTGTCAACGCAACGCCACCCGAGGACGAAATTGATGGAATTGAATTGATCGCCAGCCTGGATAGGATGCAAATCCAAGTGAGGTTTACAGTACACAACTCAGCCTACGAGGTATGTATTTCTTTTCAATCTTTTGAACCTGATTTCGGATTCATAAATACAAGGTATGGGAGAATGGGCATGGGACATTCGGACAACAGTGATATAAACACGTTTCTTGGCAAATATATGTGGCATAAATAATTTTGAAAACATGAATGCTCCTTTACGACTCGTGTAGGATGAGATAATGGTAACAGCCATTTGGTGAGTGCCAAGGCATAGTGTATGATGCCACTGCTCCTTATGCTCGCACCTTGAACCGGCCGTTGTAATGAGGATACACGAACCACGCACAGAAAGTGTCCAATGGTTTGTCTGCGTCCTCAATGACAAGATCAAACTTGCGGACAATCTGAGGCACCATCTTGGTCAACTCCAGCAGACTAATGTTCCTGCCAATGCAAGTCCGGGCACCAGCTCCAAACTACAACGAGAATTAGTCTTCTGAGATATTCTGAAAAAGAGGAATTAACTTACTGCAAACATCATAGAGTCCATAATGCTCGTCTTCTCGTCACCCAGCCAGCGCTCTGGCCGGAAGACTTCAGGGTCTGGACCGTAGATTTCCTTGTCGTAATGTAAGACCCATGCGTTAACGCCGACCTCGGTCTGGGGAAGAGTTAGTATGAACCCATGATAAGCTCGTGATCACATACCCCTTCAGGGAAGTAGATTCCCGATAGTTCCATGCCGCCACGAGGCACAACACGAGGCAGAATCGTTCCGACGGCTGGGTGGATACGCAGAGTCTCCTTGATAACAGCTTGTAGATACGGCATGTCCTGTGCTTCCTGGAAGGTAACGGGGTCCGAGAGGCCGCCATCCGCTGCTTTCCGGTCGATCTCCTCTCGCAGCTTCTTGAGTTTATCTGGGTTCTGGAACAGGTAGTAGAGAGCGGAACTCAGTGTCACGGCAGTGGTGTCAGAACCGGCCCCGATATTGCTGCCGCATGCGTCAAGCAGATTGGGCGTTTTGAGACGACCTTCAGACTCCCCTTCCAGAAGCTTCTTCAAGAATGTATCATACTTGGTGGAGCCCTTGACTGTGGATTTGGCGTTTTCTTTCCGAGTGTTGTCGATCTGTTTGAGGGCATAGCTGACAAGCGTTGAGGTGTTGGACGTCATACCCAATGCAGTAGCGATGCCGATGAGCCATGGGACCAGGTTGGGAACGATGCCCCAGAATGCTAAAAAGTCATTGGCCTCCCGAATGCCCTTTATCATCCCGGTGGTATCTCCCTCGTTCTCCATCATGTTGAAACTCTTGTTGAACTATATCGCATTGGTTAGTCAATCTCCTGAATGGTAATGATAGGAAGGGGACTAACCGTAATGGCGCCAATAACATCAAAGGCATAGTATTGCATCCAGTGAGGAATATCAACCAGACGGCCTTCTTTAGCAAACTCGTGTAACTTGCGGACGCACACATGGGTCATTTCGTCTACAGCAGGCTCATAAGATACCATGGACGACATGGTGTACATCGGCGAAATCTTCCTTCGCCTCTCCTTGTGCAGACCATTGTCTTGGATGGCAAAGATGTTTTGCTCGTGGACGACCGGGCTGAGCAGTGGACTGTAGTAAGTTGTCTTGATGTATTTGCCTCCTAATTCATAGACCTTTTTGACATCTTTCGGCTGACTAAGACTGTACCGGTTTGGTCCTACTCGTACAACGGGGCCTGGGTATCTCAGGGTTAGAGAGGATGTCGGGAGGTGCTTAAAAAAGGACTAACCGTATTTCTTGTGCAAGCGGATGAATTCTTGATTTGAGTGGCCTTGTTTGACCACTCGATACTCCCACCAACGTGTGACACGAGCCAGAAACGGTCCGGGAATACTTCTCAGAGGTGAGAGGAAGAAGCTGTAAAGCAATGCGATGAAGTAGTAAGAAAAGGCGAGACCGAAAAGAGTCAACGGAAAGCCAGCAGCGACTGCCTTGGCATCGACATGCTGCAACCTTGATAAGATGGCTTGCACCGTCGGGTTACTCTCAGCATCTCGTAAGAATGCCATAATCGGTGTTTGAGAAGGCGAAAATAATGTTTGATGGAATTGTAGCGTATCTCAAGTTGGTGAAATATCCGATAGGTTTTAACATAGGGCAGTCAAGGAGATTGCTGATATGACTGAGCGAGATCAAGTATGCGCGACACCATGGGAGGTCAATCTCGGTGGGATTATGGATGCCGGTGGGGTTGCTCATGACCACATAGAATCTGCTCCGAGCTCTTTCATCAATTGTCTCATCTACGAGCGAACCCTTCGATTAGAACTAGCGATCTCCCCTGGAGTGATCCCCACCGGTATAAGCGTAGTATCTGCTTCTGGCTAATTCATGCTCATCCCCACCGACATAGGAATTTCCCAATGCTTATCCAAACATTATCTCCGCCTTAGCCTCCAATAGATCAAAATGACCTTAAGGTGTCCAACTAGCTAAGAACCCTTGTCAACTACCTGCCCTTCTGCCAAAGCCTCAAACCAACTCAAACATACACCGCAGCACAACATGGGCGACTACACAGCAGAAATTGAACAGATTTATGCTGGCCTAACCGACCAGCCTCCTCATACCGAGGAGCAGAAAGTGATGGCCAAGAAGATCATCGAACTTCATTTAGCGACCTTCAAATACTATGACTACAAGAGAACATTCGAGCTCGTTGATGAGAACTACAAACAGCATAGCCAGATGGTCTCAGACGGCCGCGACTCTATCATTGAGGCATCCAAGGTTCTGAAGTCAATCGCCGCAAAACACCGGACGGGTCCGGGAGAACCGCACTTCAACATGATGTTCAAAAGGATACTGGTTGATGGAGACTACATTGTGGCCCAGATCTTTTCTGAGCGTTGGCCTGGAGACGCGGGCGAGCATGTCTTTGACCTTTATCGATGGAAGAACGGCAGGGTTGTAGAGCATTGGGATGTTATTCAGCAGGTTGATGCGGCAAATATTAAACATGGTAACTCTGCTGCTTAGCTCTAGTGTATCAGATACTAGGAGTGTGTCAAAGCCGGAGGGTTTATGGATGTATATAAAGTCGGAAAAACGTTCTATGAAGATGAACAGACATTCAGTACCTGCTTTGCATTAGACATTTTAAACGTACCCCGCTGTCCCTCTCCCTTAGCCACTCAACAACCGTTAAGCGCTGTGTCGCCAGAGTCTACAGAGCTAACTTCGCATGTCTTAGCCCTTTGCAGTAGTACCAAGCCAATCGTATAACAGCGATACATAGCCATTGCTAACAACCTAAAATACTAAACACAAAGCAGATATTTCACATAGCAATGTTAATACAGCCTCTTCAGGGCACAGCCAGCTTCCAACCTAAACGGAGACAATAAACTTGGCAGACTCAAGAGATGGATGGAATGCAGTATACTGGGTTGATTCTCTAGCCTCTACTTAGCGTTAGCTGGGTGGAGTGCCTTTCTCCGTATCATGACGGAGGCGGGGAAGGGGAAAAAGGGCGGGGCCCCGCACATAGCTAGACCATCTTCGGGGTCCGCTTGAAACCCCGGGCTTATCTTCGTACCAGTCCGGACAATTTTCGGACTCCGAGAACCCGTTTAACGTGATGAAGTGTAATTGACGAGCCAAGGCGTCTCAGTATACGAGAGTGGTTCATTGAATACACTGCCATCATCTCGAAGTGGTATTCAAGAGGGTCGCAGTGAATCTCAGATCCTGTGGATGGAACGAAACACCGACTCGGTGGGCACGGTGCGCCGGTGAGATTGACGCTAAACGAATTTACCAAGTTAGCAAGGATAAAAACAAACCTTATCAGCCCATGTAAAACCCGCCGCCAGTAAACCTTTGCTACTCATCCGGTGCCAAACTTTAGGCGTAGTATTGTACCTTATTTCTGTTACAGTAACATCCATGTCGACTCAAGTCAAGAACGTCGCACTGATTGGTGTATGTATACACAATGGCAACCCAATTGAACTTCAAACATAATACTGAACAATTCACAGGCCAGTGGTAACCTTGGAGTTGTCATCCAGGACCATTTCCTCGCCCAAAAGGACTCACCTCTCCACCTCTCCGTTTTGACGAGGGAAAACTCTGGTGCCAAGTTCTCAAAGGGCTTGAATGTCATCTCGACGGACTACAGCCCCGAGTCTCTCGAGCGAGGGTTGAGAGGACAGATGTAGTCATCATGCTCCTCCCCCCAGAGTCCACTGTTGACCATGAGTCTGTCATCGACGCAGCGGTAAAGGCAGGCGTTAAGCGCTTCTTCCCCTCTGAGTACGGCGTTAGAACCTACCACCCAGCTTTTGCCGACAGCGTTTTGCTCGCGACTAAGAAGCGATCTATCGTGAAGCATCTGGAGAAGACCCAGGATATCATGAGCTGGACCGGTATCATATGCAATCCTTGGGTCGACTTTGTGAGTCTTGTCATAGTAATATTAAACTCAAAGGCTGATTGAAACTTATAGTGTGTAATCGATGGACTTTTGGGCTTTGACATGAAGGAGCGCAAAGCGCGCATCTACAACGGTGGCGATGTCCCATTCTCCACGGGTCTCCGTGACTTGGCTGCCCAGTCTCTCTACGCGCTCATCACCAATCCGGAGCGTCTCGAAGAAGCAAAGAATCAGTACATCCACGTCGCCTCCTACACAGTGACGCAAAACGAGATCCTTGATGTCGTGAAAAAGCTGACCGGCCAGGAATGGCAGGTCGAGAATGCCACCTCTGAGGGAGTTATGCCAGAAGCCCTAGAGGACATCAAAAAAGGCTTGAACTGGGGTCTGGGCCACCAAGTCCAAGCTATTCTTTTTAGCTACGACTCGGAAGGCCATGGTATCGGTGATTTCCGCCCCTTGGGGATCTGGAATGAGAAATTGGGCCTGTCGAAAAGTACACTGGAGCAAGACTTGAAGGGCCCTCTTACGGGTGATTGGAAGGGGTTTGTTCACAGGCAGCCGGACGAGCTTCCCAACTATGAGCTCAAAAGGGATCGCCATCGCTCGACAGGCCTGTAGACCCTCGACTGACAAGGATTTCTCTATAGAACTTGCTCTTGAAACGCACTTTATGTAGGCGCAGATCTCATGATAGTATGCAACATGTTTGTTTCTTGTCGCCGCTCAGCAATACCTCGAAGTAGTACCCAGAGATATTGACCGAAAGGGTCTGTTATAATACAGCCATTATTCTAGTCATGACTTAACAAGTAGCTAGAGGCATGCTCTAATATAGAGCTTGAGACTCTGGTGAGAAAGGTTGTGCTCTGTACCGTGTATACAGCTAATGTTGGGTCATCACTGTTACGTAAATTATCCATAACGAGTGATGTTAACCGTTGTATCACCCAGAGCATTCATCGTAGTGGGGAAGATCACCGCAAATCGCTATATTTAGCTGATAACATCATGGCTTCTTAGGTAGTCTAATGACACTCTACAGCCTGCTTCCCAGGCCTTTCTTGCCATCCAAAACACTGCTGAACCCCCGATAGCCAATGAACGTCTCTGAAGGATCCCACTTGTTCCTGATCTCAAGCCATTTCTTCAGCGCAGAGTCTGTCATAACCTTTACACTAGTTAGAATTGAACTTGAACCACTAAATAATGACGAGACCTACCTTTGGCTTTCTGTGCTTCACGTTGAAATCGGCCACATACACACCACATGACACTTCATCAGCCTTGGTATACGCATCTAGCAGCCATTTGTCTACCGCCGCATCCTGCTTGGGGTCCTTCCAGCAGCACATTGTAGAGACATAAGCCTTCTGAGGTAGGCTCAGAGCCTGATCAGCCTCGTCGGGGTAATAGTCCATCGGGCACAAGGTGCCAGACGAGAGACGAGATGGCAGGTCGTACAGAGCCGGCGTGATTGCGTCAATAAGCTGTATGATCAGTGGTTAGCATTAAATTCAAGGTTCAAGACTGGGAGCACTTACCTCGTCATCCGAAGCTTTGGGATCGACGAGGATACTGTCCACGTTCCACCTCTCGCCATTGCCCTGTGGCTGGAAGCTTTCCTGAAGACCCCAGAGCTCAACCCAGGTCCTCTCCACCAGCGGGACGGTCGTAACGATATACTTCTTGAAATCTTCGGGGAACGTCTCTAACGGACTCGCCAATACTGCAGCCTCATCCAAGGAATCGGCAAATATGGTCAGGTTGATGGCAAAGAAGACGCGCTTGGCCGCTGATTCGTGGCCTCCGTTAGGGTCATCCTTGTCGGCGAAGAATGTGCAGTAGAAGAGATCAACACCATATTTGGGCACCTTCCTGGACATTTCAAGTGTCCACTTAAGTAACGGCTTGAAGATATCGGTGGAATCGACGATGACGGTCTTGTCAAAGAGCTTTCTCGTTGGAATCGTCTTGACCCAAATCCTCGTCACAACTCCAAAGAACCCCTGTCCACTGCCTGGAGCCGCCCAGAACAGGTCAGCATTCTGAGTCTTATTGGCGATAACAGCCTCGCCCTCCGAAGTGACGACTTCTAGCTGGGTGACCCAGGTAGGTGCAGTATAGCCCCAGCCGCGCATGAAGCAGCCCTGCCCACCAGCAAGCAGGAAACCACCGACCGCGACGGATCGAGAGTGGCCAGAGGGGAAGAACCTGCCGCGGGCTTCGAGGAACGTGGTCACATCCTCAACCCTATGGCCAGGACTGACGGAGGCGATGCTTGTTGCGGCATCGTATTCGATATCCTTGTTCAAATTGCGCGTGTCGATGAGAAGACCGCCTTCCAGAAGCGCGTTGCAGAAGAACAGGTGGCCGCCTGAACGAATGCCAATCTTCCAGCCATTCTCTCGTGCCCTCTTGACGGCGGTCACGACCTCGGCTGTAGTGGATGGGATGGCTATTTCGGTTGGATGGATATCGGGGACTCGTCCGTTGAAGAACTTGCGGCGTGCTTGGTCGTAGCCTTCAGAGTCCTGGGACAGGATCTTTGGAAGTGAGGCCATGATGAAGATGAATGTGAGGGTCGGTAGGAGTTCTGATAGAGAATTAGTGAGATATGTGGCTAAGTTACAAAGAGTTCAAGTTATTTAAAAGCCAATGTGATGGATGTCTCGGATGCATTGTCTTCGGTACTTCGTTGCGGGCAACGTAAATGTCGTGGAAAACCCACCAAGTAGCCACTTGTAAATTGAGTGGGTTCAGGCGCTGGGAACGCCCACCCAACCCCGCCGTGAGCTGTGTTGGATCATCACCTGTGCTAGCAGCCTAAAGTTTAACGTACGTTATGGCCAGTAATCACCCATTTATATGGAAAATACAGCAGACGACGTACTGTAATTAAACATATGACCGGTCATATAATGTCGATGAAATGGGTAGCAACTGAGAGGATTAGGATGACTGAAGAAAATACGCGCGATGCCTTAATCTATGCCATTTGGTACAAATATTATATAATGGTATTAGATCAATCAATTAAGCAATGTACTGTAGTTGGAACGCTCCCCGGAACAGAACATTTTACCATTGAAAACTGTGGTACAGGCTCTAGCGTCACTACCATCTGAAACTAATCATCTTAGAATATTCGTTTTCCTTGGCTATTTAACCACATCGAGGGCGTAGGCCAAAATGTTGACAGCATGCAGTTGAATGCAATAAATAAGTTTAGCTTTACAAATTCATTTATAGCTTCCTGGTGGATAGCTTCCGCCTACTCTAAGTCCCTCGCTATAGCCAGATCGCATCAGTATTGCGTAGATTTCTAGCGTTGTTACTAAACTACAGATCCTTAATGCTTTCCCACCTCACAAGCTTGACCGGGTCCCCTGACCGTTGATTGATGATGTGGTCTTCACGCCGATCTTCTCCAACTGATCCCCCAGTAACATTAGTTTACGTACAAAGAGGGAAATGGAAACAACTGACCTCAGCGACAACATCATATCCGTAGACAAAGTCTTGCGCAGCTGGATCGATCCTGAAACGAAAGTCAGCACCATTTCTCCAGGCATGGGCGGCACCTACCAGTAAAACGGATAGCCCGGCTGCTGATCGTAGAGCTGCGATTTTGCAAGACGATCCCTAGCTTCTTGCTCAGGGCCGTCAGGTAAGTGATTGATGTGTCTCTGTAGTAGATATTAATCATCAAAGTTCCTGATTGAGTATTTATTGTACTTGTCATAAGCTTACCTGCTTCATGCTCCACTTCTGCAACGCGCTGCTCCGAGGAATTCTCAGGCTCTCATACGTCTTCAGGGCTTGAGGAAGCTGCTCTCTCGTGTTCACCTTTGAGAGGACGATGCCCAGTGCAGCGCCATCTTCGATGGCAGAGCCAGCTCCTTGTGCCATGTACGGCAGCATTGGGTGGCAAGAATCGCCCAAGAATGCGACGGTGGCTTCTTCGTTATACCAACGCTCCAGTTCGTCGACTATCATGTGTTAGGTGGTGGAGAGCAAAGTTTCAGTCGCACTTACGATGCATAAGCTTCCATTTATCAATATTGTCCACTTGGGAGAGAAACTTCTGTAATCTGAAAGGATCAGTCGATGTCTGTCGTAGATGATGGCTACTGACTCACAGCGGATCCCACTTCTCAAAGATCTCCCTCATTTCAGAGAGGTCGCCAGACATCTTGGCCACGTTGTCTGGCAAATTATCTGGAACTAGAAGAACAATGTTTGCCATGGTGTTGTTCTTGAGTGGGTAGTAGATGGCATGGCATTCCGGGCCAGCCCATAAACAAACACGGGGCTTGTCAATAAATTCGCGCAGCTCAGTATCTTGAATGTCCTCCTTCTTGAGAACAATGCGGTATGCAAGATCTCCGGTAGCTATAGGCTGGCTGGGCCTACCTAGAACCTTGGACCGGGTCTTGGACCAAAGCCCTATTATGTATTAGATAATGCATTTCTGAGGGTTTGGGGAGGCTCACCATCTGCAGCTATCACCAAATCCCCGGTGATCTTGTCACCCTTGTCTGTTGTTAGCTGCGGAATAGCAAGATCTACATCAGTCACCGTTGTACCGAACTCGAAGCGGATACCGAGGCTCTTGGCCCGCTCAAACATTGCAAGCTGTAGATCTGCCCGGTGCATATCCCAGTAAGGTGACTTGTACTTGCTGAGCATTTCAGCAGCAAAGTTTTGGCGGTGACCAAGGACCTTGCGACCGTCGAAGCGACGGATGAGGAACTCCTCGGGACTGCTGGCCAAATGCTCGAGGCTGGGCTTCAAACCCCACCTTAGGAGAAGCCGTGTAGCATTGGGTGTAAGTTGAAGTCCTGCGCCGATCTGAGTGGTTCAACAAGTCAGTTTCCACTGTATAGAATCACAGGAATACCCTGAACTAAACGTACCTCCGCTAGCACAGGCGCTGATTCCACAACCAGAACGTCATGAGCGGGCGACTCTTGCTTGATGGAAAGGGCGGCGGCGAGCCCACCGAGGCCGGCTCCGATGACAACAATATTAAGAGGCATGGTGACTTTTGGCTTGTTAAATCTCTGCAGAGCTATCATTTGGATGCGAAAGACCTCATTCGACTCGCCATGGCTTTATAAATGGTTGTCAAATCTGGTTCTAAACCTCTACTCCCCACCCGGGTGGGTGCTACTTTACAGCAGTCAAGCTAGCCACCACCCAAGCACTGATCTGACAGCTAATAAGATGCAAGTTCAGTTAACCATTTTATCTGTGTCCCCCATCGACAACAAACATTCATGATATATAGACGATATCCCGGAGAATCTAACCCAGATCATAAATACATCCATCTAATTCTCCAACTATCACCATTTCTCTTCCAAACCTGACTCCAAACCCTTTCAAAATGGCATCACTGGCTGGTAAGGTGGCTCTGATCAGTGGCTCATCAGCAGGACTCGGAGCAGCCATTGCTCGGGAGCTATCCAGCCGCGGTGCCTCTGTGGTCACCAACTACCCCAACCAAAGCGAAAAGGCAAACGCGGACAAGGTTCTCCAGACCCTCAACGGGCCCGGAAAAGCCGTAGAGGCAGACCTGTCAACACCGGAAGGGCCGCAGGTGCTAGCCGATGCGGCCGCAGAAGCTTTCGGCAAAATCGACATCCTTGTCAACAGCGCTGGCATCAATCGCCCCACGTTTCTCGACGATCCCGACGATGAAAAGGTCTACAAGACATGGCACGATATCGTCAATCTCAATGCCAGAGGTGTCTTCTTCCTCACCCGCGCTGTTCTAAAGTA